TTCATATCAGAATGTATAAATTCATCGAAATAAACGAATAAACTGGAGAATATAGAATAATAAAGCACAACTAAAAACCTAGCTCCCGAAACCCTTTATTTTTTGCGACAATCACCTTTTCCTTCCACCAAACTTACCTGGTATTACTCAGAAGCGCTTCGGCATAAAATTATGATATCACATGATGTCAAATGACTTATTTCCGGTCTTTCCTAGAAATGTGAATTGAAACAAAATAAGCAGTGCAAATCGACAGCAGTTTTTCATTAATTTAATTCTTGAGGCGAAATAAGCTTGTAAGATCAGTAGTGAAAACAGAAATGGCACACTATCAGCCTGCTTAGTTTGGAGATCAAGCAACAAAGGAGGACACTCAGGCAAATTTGTAAGGCAGGTAATCGCTGTGCTTAGAGACAATCGAGAGGCCCAATGCCTGATCGAAATGCATCATACTCTTGAGGCAAAGTACGTCACAACAGAAACACCGGATTTTTGTATTCTTTTGTATTAGGTCGGTTTGCGGTAATACGCAAGACAGTTATTTCTTGTAACAAACATTTAACCTTCAAAATATTGTTTTAGAGACGAACGGAAGAACAAAAAATGGTAGGCCAGGTTGTTGGGGGACCCTTTGGTTGGAATTTATCAAATAAAAAGGCCATTACTAAAGCAGACAAAGCATCAAAAGAATTCGCAGTAAAGTGTAGAAATTTGGCACAAGGCAACTGGGATGAGACCGAGTTTTACCGAGGTGAATTACCTCAGGGTAATTTTGTTTAATGGGGCGTTGGGTGCGCCAGGAGAACAAAAGGTTTTCCCATGCCAGCTACCCTAAAGCAACAGAGTGGGAAACTTGAAATCCCATGCAAAAGAACCAATCAGCGCTTGTTGGTGGGTACGTTAATGACAGATGTTGGTTTACATGACATGTTGTGAACCTCTTTTTAACTCATGTGATTTTAGGTAACGTGATCTTTTTCACGTCGCCGTATGATGGCGCGATTTAAAACTCTCATTTGATTAGAATTAGGTATTGCATCCCCAATCTTTGGGATACTCTACCATTTTCTTTCATTATCTGAAGTTTTTGTGATGTTTTCCCAATCCAAATACATAGTTTTGTCCTAGAAATAGGCTACA